AAAGTATTGAGCTTTAAATGTGGACTGTCTTAACTTTAATTTAATCAAGTTGTGGTCATGGCTGATGTTTAAAAAAATGTTATACCATGTCAGGAGTGCAACAGAAAAAATGTAGTGTTGCCAAAAAAACATCAATTGTAAAATTCTGAAAGAAAATTAAGACAAAAGAGAATTTTCGAAGTGTAAAACAATAACTGATATACATTTTAAAACTTAAAAATTTTATATAAATCACAAGCAGCATTAATGAGAGTCAAGTATATGTGCATACCAAATAATGTCAGGAGTGCAACATTTGATGTTTTGCTCCCAAGCATGAAATAATTATTATCATTATATGATTTTCTGATTTTTATTTTGGAAAATAAAGACACAAAGAACATTTTTATCAAATAGATTTATCAATTACAGGATCTGTCTGTGCTTCAGATCCATATTTCTATGGTCAGGAGTTCAACACATTTTTTTTTAAAGATTCAAGTTGTGTGACGAAAACACTTCTATTCATGCTTAGAAGTATTCATTAATTAATAATGATCTTTTTGTATAATTTAATACTAAATTATTGACAGTTTTATTATTAAAATCCTTCCTTTTTCAATTTTATCAATTCAGATGTGTTTTTATCTTTTTTGTGATTTTTTTAATGAATGTTAAAAATAAACACACTAAAACATTGTCATAAAATTCAAGTAATTCCTCCTCAACTTCACTGAAACAACAGAACAAGTTCTTATGCGATTTTCACTTCACAATTCTACCTTAAAGGCCTCAATGCTTTTGGTCAGGAGTGCAACAAATATGCTAGAATTATAAATCATCCAATAAGAATAAAAATAAAGAAAAAATGATGAGTAGAATTTTTCTGGTGGGCTACTGTGTTTGTCCTCTAAAGAAAAATATGTTTTAAAACATATTTTATCTTCTAAATATACATTTAAGCTAGTTTTTTGGCATAAAATAGGGTATAATTCCAGGTAAAATGCGAATTTTAAATACTTTCATCTGTTTTAATTATGAAGTATTGGACTATAAGTATTGCACAATTTGATTACCACTTGATGTTGCCAACACTTACTGAATTTTTGTGTTCTATGCTTTTAATTTTAAACTTTACTGCAGTCAGGAGTGCAACAAAACTGCTTCATAATTACCGATGCTTTTTAACTATCTTTACTAAAAAATAAGTTGAAAAAAATTGCTCGATACTATTTGATGTTCAAAACACTTTGTCCATCAACAAATTACAGAAATTTTACGGTCAATTCAGGGAATAGTTTTCATCATTTCACATATATTTTAAATACAATTTATATATATTACACTTTGCAAATAATCATGTTTTAAGGTCGTCTTCAAAATATGAAAAACCTGCTGTAAACAATGAAAAATATCAACACGACAAATTGATTTACAAAGTAAGAATGGGTTATTGTGTGTTATAATTTTTAAAACAATGTTAAATACAATACATATCAGATGTCAGGAGTGCAACACAATAATGTAACATAGGGTCACTTCAAAATCTAGTATTTTTTGTAAGAGAACTCATATATAACAATTCTTTTTTGGCTTAGATTTAAAGAATTGACTTGAACGGACAAAAAAGTGAATTTTGGGGAAGTTTATTGCTTCATATTTTTTTCATATTAAAACTTTTCAAACCAGAATTGAAAAAATAATGTAAAATAACAATCAAAAAGCCAATTTTTTGTCAGATGTACAAGAGAAGATACTCATTCAAGGTCTAGATTTAATCATTTATACCCCTTTTACCATTTTGGAGCATAAAAAACTATAATTTCTTGTGATTATGTATTTTAGAAAGTCTTTTAAGGTGTAATGATATTTTCTTTTTTCAAAAGAAATTTTACAAATAAAAATTCTGAAACTTTTTAATCCAATTGTCTATTCTATTGCCACTTCAGGATTTTAAACTAGAATGCATTTGCAATATGATGATATAAGTGAAAAATATGTTATAAGTTAAGTTGAATTTTGCCAAAAAAATTCAGTTTGGTGGTCATTTTTTTTTAATTCACCCATTATGCTTATAGATATCTGTACTTGTCACTTCTTATAGGGAAATGAAAGAGAGAGTTAAAGCATGAGACTGTCAGAATATGAAATTTCAAGAAATGATGTGAAAGCATCTAAATTATAATCAGTATTCAGAAGTGTATTTCTAGCTTTTTTCCCCCATTTGATTCAAATGTATTATAATAGTATTTTTTTTTTTTTACCATGTTTACAATGAAAAATAATGGTGAGATGCAGGTATGTAGGGTCATTTTTCAAGGTGGTGGTGGGGCAAGATTAGAAAAATAGTTGAGAAAATAACAAGCCCCCCCCCCCCCAAAAAAAAAAAAAAACACCTAAAAACCTGAAATCAAAGGAGGATGGGAATCCCTTCCCCATCTCCCAAAAATATATTATTTGCCTGGTATGCTTCTTGTAGGTAAATGTGTTTGTAAAGAAGTTCACATCTTCAGATTTCACATGTCCGTCTCCATTTTGCACCAATGTATTAACTTTTTTTCTGTGACTATATGTACCCTGTTAATAATGTTTTTTAAAATTCATAATAGACCAGCCAAGCTTTAATGTTCAGTGAAATGGTAAAATATTTGAACACCACTTATAAACTCTCTAAGAATTATAATTTTGGTTGATTGCTTGATTAAAAAAGCTAAAGGTATAGTTAATTGCTCTTTGAAAGGAGATCTACAAAAGGAAAGGTCCACTTAATGCATTAATTGGCATTGCCAGTATTAATCATTCATTTGTCTCCAAATCTCCAATTTCAAACATTAAAAAACCTCATGCTTTTGTTGAACAAGACTGGTGAAATTGCAGTGGCCTCCAATATACATGTACTGGTAATAGAAGGATGTGTTAGAGTCCATTCAAAAAATAGATAAATAGAACAACCTTTGATAAAAAAAACCCAAAAAAAACAAAACAAAAAAAAAACAGATTTGTAAGAAGCAATACATTGTTCACAGTTTTACTAATATCCACTTGTAAAGTTGGGTTTTGAGGTTGTGTTCTATTTGATACATTTAATTACAGCATAGAATGTTGGACATTTTGGAGGAAACGCAATTCACAACTTTATAATGCTGATCAGTCTAGTAAGGAGATTATAGTAATTTGGTTAATTATTAGTTTAGTCTAATTGATAGTTTAGATGTAAAATGTTGTCCAGTAAAATTGAAGAAACTTTATTTTACAGAGCTGAAAGTGGCCTTTTGAGCTATGACCCTTGACAAAAGAACTACATGTACCGGTAGTTTAGTATACATGTGCTAGTGATTGCGTGGATATTAACGAAATATTTGACTCACTACTGACTGTGACTCGGGCATGGATTACATGTCAGTTTGACTGCATAGCTTAATGTATTCCTGAACATGTAAACTGTGAACAGGCATAAGTGGGGTTTTCCCCTCTTTTATTTTTTTAAAGAACAAATAACAATAATTATACATCACCATTGCATCATATTGCTAACTGCTTAGAAACATGCAATACTAGTGATGTTGCAGCTAGTACCGGTACATATAATTTACTACAGTTGACGGATTTTTATAAAATAAAAATCTTATGAATACATGGCAAAGTTTGAAAAAAAGGGCACTTAATTTCATAATGCACCAAACTCTGAAAACTATACGTTGTAATTGTGACTGAAATAAATATGATAAAGGAAGCAAATTTTCTGTGATGTGATGAAATCAAATTTAAAGATATGTGAAATTATGATTTTAAATTATTTTTGTTTTTATTTTTTTTTTTTTACATTAATTTATAAACATAAAATTTTAATCAACTTTAAGAGAAAGGATTCTGCAATAACCAATCAAAAAGTCAGCAAGGTAATTTACGGTACTGATGAAACACATTTTATTCCTTGATGAATTAGATAATTTTTGATGTATCATGGAGTATTCTGGAAGTTTTAGAGTAACATTCTTGGAAGAAAGCAAAGTTTGATAACTTCCTCTGTAATTTGGTCAGTGTTGTGTTTGTGTTCGACATAAAGTTCATGTTCTCTGTAAGATTGTATCAATTGAAAGCTTTGTGTACACACAGAAACTGCCTCAATGTGTGATGGAATGTCTGTGGTTTTGAGCAGAAGATGGAAGTAAGCATTGGAAGATGTTGAAAAAGCAGAACATTGCTATGGGTGTGTACTAGGGTCAGATTTTGTGACTTCATGGATTGAAGGCAAACAGTTTAAACATCCGTTTTAGATAATATTAATTAGTAGGAAAGAGAGTGTGAAATTACTCATCTTAAAAATACACTTTAAATCCTGAATTGTCTGGGCATTGTTACATGTACTTCATATTCTGTCAAGCAGTTCGATCATTTTTCAAATGGTGTGCTTTATATTATTGAATATTATAAAAAAAAAAATGACAAATTAATAGATTATTTAAGTGAACTGAAGTACTCATAACCTGAACTCATCGATACAAGGAAGAGAAAAACTAAGGAGTAGTTTTTATGAAAGCAAAATAATGGATTGCACATTAATATTGCAGTACATGTGGGGCTTTTATTTCATTAAGACTTCATATTCAGGGATATATATCAGTATCTCTTATTGATGATCAATTTTTTTATCCCCAGAGATGAAGCATCAATTCCATATAATATCCCGTTAAAAGTCATAAATTAATCCTGAATCACCCTAATGAACTGATTAAAAAAATAATATATATAGTGCTCAGTTAACATATAATTGGTACATTTGCACTTGAAAGGTACATTTCCCAGAGTAATTCAAGATATCATTTGTTACTCTTTTTTTTTAAAATTTCATGTGACTATATTGATGTGTGATGGGTATGTTATTTCGACGACTAAGATGGTATATTGGTTTTATTGCATCATGTAGTGAATGTTCTGCAGCTCTCAGGAGAGATGGATTAATTCATATAATTATTATTAATTCATTTGTTAAATTTTATTTCTTTCTGCTTATATGACAGGATGGGAGTTAGTACTCCATTTTATGAAATAAGAAGAAATTCCATGAAACTTCAAATGATGCACAACAACAGGTCACGGGACATTCCTGTAAGTCTGGACCCGAGCCTGGACCAAACAAGATGTGAGTTGGAGAATTACAGATTGTGTGCAGATGGCAGCTGTATATCTCAGGTGGATCTATGTCGTAAGTTATGCTTATTCTTTCATTTACAACAATGAAATTAAAATTATGCCCCCCCCTTTCGAAGAAGGGAGGGCATATTGCTTTGCTGCTGTCTGTCAGTCGGTCTGTCTGTCTGTCGGTCCACCAACAGTTTCCATTCATTTTCTTCACAGAGGTTGCACATACTGAAATGAAATTTGGCATACAGATTTATCATAAGAATATCTAGGTCAGGTTCTGTTTTGGGTACGATTGAACAATTTTTGACAGAGTTATGCCTTTCAAACTTAGAAAAATTCCAATTATTTGAAGTTTCTGTTCATTTTTCTTCACAGAGGTTGCACATACTGAAATGAAATTTGGTATGCAGATTTATCATAAGAATATCTAGGTCAGGTTCTGTTTTGGGTTTGAGCGAGCAATTTTTGACAGAGTTATGCCCCTTGGACTTAGAAAAATTCCAACTATTTGCAGTTTCTGTTCAATTTCTATGCAGAGGTTGTACATACTGAAATGAAATTAGGTACTGTAGATTCCTTATTTTTCGCGAGTACTTATTATTGTGAAATGACTCTTTAACGCCAAATCGTGAGAATAATAATTCCTGAGTGGACGGTTGAACAAGGGATTTTACATTGATTTCAGCACCATAATAATAAAAGCAAGTAATTTTATTTCACAAGTGGTGTTTCTCTTGCAATTACGCGATCATTAATTCCTCGGGTATATTAAGAAATCTACAATATACAGATTTATCATAAGAATAGCTAGGTCAAGTTCTGTTTTGGGTACGGTCGAGCAATTTTTGACAGAGTTATGCCCCTTGGACTTAAAAAATTCCAATTATTTGCAGTTCCCGTTCATCTTCTTTGCAGAGGTTGCACGTACTGAAATGAAATTGGTATACAGATTAATCATAAAAATATCTGGGTCAAGTTTTGTTTAGGGTAGCAAATTTTTGACAGAGTTATGCCCCTTGGACTTAGAAAAATTCTAATTATTGGGGGGGGGGGGCATAAGTCACAAACATTTCTTCTTATACTGAAATTTATCCATTGAATATAATTGGTATTTTAACAGACAGGTGTCGTCTGATGTATGTTCTTTTCATAGTGTGAAAATGACAATCGGTTCTACTTGCGTAGATGGTTTTTTAGCTCTACTGGTCAGAGACCAGAAGAGCTTATGCGATAGTAAGGTGTCCGGCGTCCGTCCATCTGTCTGTGTGTCTGTAAACAATTTTTCAAAATGCTACTACTCCTACAGTTTTGGTCTGATTTCAATATATCTTGGCACATAAGTAGACTACACTAAGATACATAATTTAGTGCATCGGTTTTTTATTTCGATGAACGGTGTTTCCATGGTTACTAAAAATAGAAATTTCTGTAAAATTCCTTTCAAACGCTACTCCTCCTACAGTTTTGGTCTGATTTCAATATAACTTGGCACACAAGTAGACTACACTAAGATACATAATTCAGTGCATCGGTTTTTTATTTCGATGAACGGTGTTGCCATGGTTACTAAAAATAGAAATTTCTGTAAAATTCCTTTCAAACGCTACTCCTCCTACAGTTTTGGTCTGATTTCAATATAACTTGGCACACAAGTAGACTACACTAAGATACATAATTTAGTGCATCGGTTTTTGATTTCGATGAACGGTGTTGCCATGGTTACTAAAAATAGAAATTTCTGTAAAATTCCTTTCAAACGCTACTCCTCCTACAGTTATGGTCTGATTTCAATATAGCTTTGCACACAAGTAGACTACACTAAGATACATAAATTAGTGCATCGGTTTTTGACTTCGATGAACAGTGTTGCCATGGTAACTAAAAGTAGAAATTTCTGTAAAATTCCTTTAAAACGCTACTCCTCCTACAGTTATGGTCTGATTTCAATATAACTTGGCGCAGAAGTAGACTACACTAAGATACATAATCTAGTGCATCGATTTTGATTTCAATGAATGGTGTTGCCATGGTTACTAAAAATAGAAATTTCTGTGAAATACTTTCAAAATGCTACTCCTTCTACAGTTTTTGTTTGATTTCAATATAACTTAGCTTACAAGTAGACTACACTAAGATACATAATTCTATTTATTGCTGCATGTTGCAAAATTTTAAGTCCAAGTGATACTTTTCCTTTGTTATATGCACAGACCAGTAGAGCTACAGTCTCATCAGAGACTTCTGATTTCAATCATATTTGGAGATTCATGCATTGAAATGAGATTGGAAATTCTCCTTCAGAGCTGTTAATCAAGAAACTGGATTCTGATGCCTGTTCATGAAATTATGGTCTATTTTCATCTGAAATCATTGAAAATTCGATTTCATCAGTTTTTATTTTAGGTTGAGTTATATTAGATTAGGATTTGGTTCACCACTTCAGAGTTGCTTATCAATTTCAATCTGAACCTCTTTTAATGGAGAATAGTCTGTTTTATTTACTGAAATCCTGTGAGAATCCATTTTTTTTAAATGTCATTGTTTTGAGAAACTTGACTGGAAATTGGTACACTAGCTGTGTGTAAAGCAGAGTTGAAGAAAGGAATCCTAACTCACTTTGATTGAATTTTAGCCTCATATTACTAAAAATCAGTGAAACTTGTTTTATGGAATCCTTTTATGTTTGAATTTCAATGATTTCATGAAATATGAAACCATACTAGAGTGAAGATTTATAAAACTGTTATAGATTTTAAAAATGTGTCACACTCAGCAGTATTGCGGCATTTTGTGGAGGTATTTTCCAGGAAAATCAAAAATATACACGTACAGTAAAAGTCAGTTATAAAGAACTCACTTATAAAGAAATCTCCGTTATAAGGAACTTTTTACGAATCACATGGAAGACTTTTCACTGTATTTCTTATAAGGATATAATCTCAGCTTAATAAGGAAGCCAAATTTGAGGTCCCTGTGACTTCCTTGTAACCGAGTTTTACTGTATTGACTTACAAAACATATGACTCACAGTATATGTTTGACTACTGTCTAGCTCATTGTATTTAATTCCCAGAAAGGAATAACATTATTAGTATTGGCCTTTATGAATGTATGCATTGTATAGATTTGTTGGGACCAGTAAGAGATATGTAATTACTTGAGCATTACTCCTAAAACTGGGCTTTATCAATCAAGAGATGTGTTTTAAAATTTTCTTATGCCCCTTTAATCAGAGGTTTGGGGCATATTGTTTACGGCCTGTCTGTTTGTCCACAAAAACTTTAAACTTTGTCATAACTTTTGAACATTTAGTGGTAGGACTTTCATATTCACATGTATATAATCCTTGTGACAATACCTTCTTTGGGTATCAACATTTTTGAGGTTATGACCTTGGAGTTTGACCTACTTTTGAAAAATTTTAACCATCATCATAACTTCAGTAAGGTTGGGGTAAGGACTTTGAGTTCATCTTTCATGTGTATTTCTTGTGACAAGTCCTTTCTTTGGGTACCAGCATTTTTAGCATCATGAATGTCTTTGGAGTTTGACCTACTTTTGAAAAACTTTAACCTCCCACCATTAAGGATGCCATATTGCGGGAACAGTGTTTCACTAACACTTCTTGTTTACTTCTGTAGATTATATCGTAGCTAGAACATTTTCCATCTTTTCAAATCCAATGATAGCAACCTTTAATGTTTTTTTTTATTATACTGTTTTTGTTTGATTGGTTTTAATTTTGGTTTGTTTTTGTTATGTTTTGTTTATTTGTTTGTTTGGTTTTTTGGGATGAAGGGGAGGTCCATTTTGAGTGTAATATGGTAATGAAATGCATGCTGTAAAATTAGACTCTCTATTCTCAATCCAATGGGAGAAAAATTATTTTGGAGCTTAGAATCCATTGCCATGACAGCATAATGTAGTGAACATTTTGACACAATTTCTACCATTGTAAAAATCATAAAATGACTTGGTAAAGTGATCTCAAATTTATCGATTCAAACTATATCTGGTACCATAGAATGTGACATTTTATATCTAGTGCCATAAATTGTGATATTCACTTGTGTACAGCAATGCACTTCAGTAAATGAAATTGGCAGTGTTAGTTATTTTCTGTAAGGATATGTAAGAGTACAATACCTAATGAATCAAAATCCAGGGATGAGCTCTTTGTATGCTCCCAAAATACTGTATCCTAAAGAGGATTTCTCAAGCCAGGATATTTCTTTTTGACTTCTTTTTTTTGGGGGGGGGGAGGAAAAAATTGTATATAATACGCAGCTCTGTTAAGGCTGCATAAAGGGGGCGGGGCCTAATTTATACGGGAAAAGTTTACTGTGACATCACACAAATATAGCAATTCCTCACAATAACAGAAAATGAAATAATTTGCGAATCTAAACTCCACAAGAGTATTGAACTACATCAAAACTTACAACTGTATTCATTTTTGTCGCTAGTTAAATCCCACACAGCAAGATATAAACAAGTCACTGATCGCAATGCACTTGTCGACATGACGTCATCATGGTAAAGTTTGACGCATTTTATGTGCAGTGAGAGGCGGATCAAGTAATTTTTTCACAGTGAAAAATGCATTTTATTATTGAACAGAATATTATTTGAAAATCTTAGGTAGACCATTAATACAAATCTGAAACGTTTGTTTAGTGCCATTATTTAAAAAATATCGAGAGAATGTATTGAATTAATTCTACCGTGTTTTTGTCTTTAGGGTGTGCATGTTTCATGCCGAGGTGCCTCATTAAATCGCTTTTTCGCAAGGGCATACACTTAATAGATCTTGACCATTTTTTGAATACACATAATGGACATATTCCTTAACTTGAAAAGTGCTGCTGCTTTCCTGAAATCGATAGCAATACTTGATAAATACATAAAATACTTGGTAAAGGTCACACATATTTCGACATTAGCAAGATAACTTGAAATTTAAACTAATAAAATGCGAATTCTATTTAAAGCAGCAGCACTTTCCATAAACTACAAGTTATGTAGAAACAATCTATTACTTTAATTTTTAATTTTAACTAGGGTATGCCCTTGCGATATTGAAATTTGTTTGTGACCTACATACAGTACACATTACATGCCTTTTTCATGTGACTATCAAATAACCTGACCAAACCAAATTCAGTACAGAGCGGGGTATACAATGTTATTTCAAAGAATGTTAAAGTCATAAGATAATATAGTATCTTTACAAAATTAAAATTCATTTTAAAAAGGTATGTATTTATGCACGTTTATATTCTGTTGATTTCTTCGAAGTACGCCTTAACAGTGCTGCGTATTCATCTGTGAACTTTTACTGAAGTTTGTTTATTTTATACACATATTTACATAGTTTTAATTAAAAAATTATATATGTATTAATTTTTTCCATCTGTTACAGCTGAAGAACAGCTGATGAACCAGAACACTATTCTGATAATGATTGTGGTGGGACTGGCTGTAGTTATCTTTCTCATTGTCCTCTACTGCTTCCAACAAAGAAACAGAAGTCCTTCCCATGCCAGAGGTCGGTCAGGTGAGTCTTATCCCACGACAGCTAGCATTAGTATACCTCTACTGCTTCCAACAAAGAAACAGAAGTCCCTCCCATGCCAGAGGTCGGTCAGGTGAGTCTTATCCCATGACAGCTAGCATTAGTATACCTCTACTGCTTCCAACAAAGAAACAGAAGTCCCTCCCATGCCAGAGGTGGGTCAGGTGAGTCTTATCCCTCGACAGCTAGCATTAGTATACCTCTACTGCTTCCAACAAAGAAACAGAAGTCATTCCCATGCCAGAGGTTGGTCAGGTGAGTCTTTCCCATCTGTAGCTTGTATTATTATACATCTACTGCTTCCAACAAAAAAATAGAGGTCCCTCCCATGCCAGAGGTCGGTCAAGTGAGTCTTATCCCACAGCAGCTACCATTAGTATAATTCTACTGCTTCAAACAAAGAAACAGAAGTCCTTCTCATGCCAGAGGTCGGTCAGGTGAGTCTTGTCCATCTGTAGCTTGCATTATTATACCTCTACTGCTTCCAACAAAGAAATAGAATCCCTCCCATGCCAGAGGTCAGTCAGGTAAGTCTCTTATCCCACAGCAGCTAGCATTAGTATACCTCTACTGCTTCCAACAAAGAAATAGAATCCCTCCCATGCCAGAGGTCGGTCAAGTGAGCCTTATCCCACAGCAGCTAGCATTAGTATACCTCTACTGCTTCCAACAAGGAAACAGAAGTCCCTCCCATGCCAGAGGTCGGTCAGGTGAGTCTTATCCCACAGCAGCTAGCATTAGTATACCTCTACTGCTTCCAACAAAGAAACAGAAGTCCCTCCCATGCCAGAGGTGGGTTAGGTGAGTGGTGTCCCTCTGCAGCTAGCATTACTGTAGCTCTACTGCTTCAGTCAAAAAAAGTAGTCCTTGTCATGCTAGAGAGTCTTGTCCATCTGCAGCCATCAGATAGGTAATGGTCATTTGTGACCTGAACATATTTAGAAATTCACTGTAATAAATACCGGTACATAAAAGGCCAGCATAATTAGAAAATTTAACCAACTCTTTTGGACAGACTTTCCTAATTTTTGTGTCACCTGCAGAGCAGAGAGACACTTAGGAATCACTACCTGGCTCTGCATTCTGTCACACCTTATATCTTGAGTACTGTAAGAGGTAAGGATTTGATATTTTGGTCATATATTGCTTGGCACTGTGGCTTTTGTAAAATACCATGGTTACTAGGTGACCTTTAACTCGACCTTTGACCTAATTATCAAAGTAGTTTCTAAAGCTGATATAGCCTACAGCAAGTGTTGGAAATTTGAGAAATGAGTCTGTGCTATTTATCATGACGTGCACTATTTGTCATAAGACAATATGAAAAATGGCACCGTTAAAGTCCTTTTGACCTTGACCTTTGACCTACTTTTCAAAAATACCCTGAAAGTTTAATTTTACATGTATATATCTACTGAATTTTGAGATGCAGGGCTTCGATATTAAATGTGTTTTAGCTCACTGTGCTTTTAAAATGTATGATATACAGTAAGGCCATTCCAAGTTTTTTTAAGTTTAGCGTCCCTCCAAAAATCAAAAACCTATCTCTCTATCTGAACCACCCAAAGAGAACTTTAAATACTTTGAAAATACATTGGGATCGATAAACCAAAATGGATTGTACTTCACATAAAGTTGTGGACTGACAAATAAAGTTGTGGATGGACAATTGCAGTAGAGACAGCCTGAAATCTCTTTCTAGTTACAAATCTGAGGGATTGTTGAATTAAACAATTGAATACATGAATAATTGTTTCTGATAGTTTCAATGCCATTATTCATTTAGTTTTGAGGGTTGCGAAAATTCTGAATCATATTTCTCTTTGATTGTCACACTTAATGATAAATGCTATTCTTTTGCAGTCTAAATATCTGCAGAAATTTTTTCTCTGCAGACAAGTTTATGATCGAGTTATAATACTTGTATGCAATAAACAAATGACCACTCATTTTATTTATATCTTTAATGATGCTATAGGAAGTGACACATGTGTTCCTTGGAACTCTCTAGTTTTATTCATATGTGAATATTTAAGAAATGAATTTAATTTTTGAAGATCCATGAGGACATGAACTACGACGCTTCACGCCGGCATATTTCATGAAGCGCGTTAGCTTATATTGGAAATGTAAATATTTTAAAATGGAGACTGACTATGTTTTGTCAAGTTCAAGGTCACAAAAAGTTCTAACAGGAAATTTAATAAGTAATTAAAAATCAAGGTTATTGGATTTCACAAACTTTTTGTGTGAATTTAAAATGTTTAAAAAAGATCACAAAAAAGTTTTGTAAACCCCCCCTCCCCACCCCATCCCCCCCCCCCCCCCAAACAACAACAACAACAAAAAACAAATGTACAATTTAGATTTTTAAATTCTTGAACTCAAAGCTAGATCAAATGCACCAAGAGCCACTGCTTATTTTGTATTAATTGAATTCAATGGGTCGAAGGGACCATATATCAAGATTTGGTAATAAATTCAAGAATGTCACTTTTCCTTCAAAACGTACTACATGTATTATCAACAATACAAATAAGAATCACTGAGATTTTGTCACACAAATTATTGATAAAAACAAATTAGAAAATCTGTATTTTTAATGGTAGCAGAGATTTATGTTACAATTACCAGACAGAGAGATTATTTTAGACAACTGTTCATGTGCTTTCCCACTAAGTTACAAATTTGTAGGAGCATATAAATTCAAGTCTGTAAATAATATAATTGGAAATGTCAGGTATTAAGCCACTACAGAATAATGATTTTGTGGCATGAACAAACATTTATGGCAGGACTCCTATTTTATGGTAGCTTATTATAATCATGTCAGCTAAGGTGTTATTTATGTTCCCAGCTAACAGCTTCAGATCATATTTCCAAAGTACAGTAAAACTGGATTCTATTGAACACTTTACAGTAATTTACCTGTCTGTAACAAAATTATTTGTTTTTCAATATAGGGACTTTAATATGACAAAATATGAAGTGCATAAAATTAAATATGGCAAAAATTTCAGTTGGAAAGGGGGGGGGGCATGAAAAATAATTTAAGGGGCCAGAGGGTCTGGGGGCTGTCTTGAGGCCCTGGAGCTTCTGTATAATTTTGTTATACTGTTTGGAGAAATTTGATGCAGCCACTGGATGACCACACTGTTTGTTCAAAATTATAGTCTTAAACAGATGCGTCATTAAATCTGACAAGTTGTAGGTTCAGGTGTTAATTGAAGAACTAAAGGGTAAAAAACAATGGCATATGAATGTACAGTGTATAAGATGAATAAGTTTATTTTTCTGTTAACTATCAGCTGGTATTCGTGATGACGATAACATCAACCAGAGTTATTGTTTTCTTGTGATTAAATTTATTTTCAAAAATATCTGCAATAATATACCCAAATGAATAATTTATTTTTTTTTTTTTAAATTAATAGTGTAGATTTATAAAATCTAGCATATTATCATGATTATTAAGATTTAAGTGATAAGCTTGAATTCAAAACTTGGTTAAATTTTCCAAGAAGATATTGTAATTGTAGATCTTCAAACCAAGCATTTTGAATGCTTGTTTTGGAAAAAAAGATCAATTTTCCTGGGTCATAAAAAGAATTATGAATTGCACAGTGTTGTGAGAAAAAGACATTTGCCAATATCTGGCTGATATTAAACAGGAGATTTAGATCCTTCTGTCTCCAAGATTCACAAGAAATCTTTTGCTTTTACAACATAACATCATCTTAATCGATCAGTTGCTGTTGAATTTACTAATGATGGGTGAGCGCTAGAACTATCCTCTTAATTAGGGTGGATAATATTGTTGAACAAGAGCATCAACACAGTGGCTAATTTCCTGAGGTGCAAATTGTGAGTCGGTTTCAGCTGGTTCTGTAGATGGTAGTTTTTTGGGTCACTGCCATTTCTGATCAAATAACTTGTAGATCCAGGTAAAATGATACTCCACGAGCAAGTTAGAGGTTCACGGTGAGACACCTTTGACTTGGCGCTATGTCCAAGGTATATAAGGAGCATAGGGACATTAATAGAGTCTCTTTCAGTCTTTCTTGTAGGAGTAGAGAAACTGACAGCTGTTGAAGTTGGTTGTAATTATGTCGTACTCACACAGACACACACACTTAATTCAATACTCCTGTTTTAGTGTTTCAAATAGATGAAAATGGGTTTTCAAATCAGGGATATATAATTCTGCTTATTTCGCAGGTAGGTTAAGGCTTCCCGTAGAATATCACAGTGCATTCTGTGCCTTCACATCTCTGAACTACCAAAATATGACGTCATAATGGAGAATGACGTCAAGTCACTGCAAACTTGAGGTGTTATGACGGGGAGAGTGTCATGAACTTAAAACTTTATTTCAAACTGCATGTAAAATGCTAGATAGCTATTGCAATATTCACGGTTCGTTAAAGGTTTTTTAAGTCTTATATGTCCGAATATTTTAAAAATACACCGCTTACCTACCCTTGATTGAAATTCAGCATATTCAAAATGCGTATGAAAAATATACTTTTGAAATGTACTCTGTTTTATACCTGTGGTTGGAGGTAGAATTTATTTTGTGTGTATAAAAGAGTCTGGTGCAGGTGATTAATGAGGATTAATCTGAGAATTTTTGTGGAAATCTTTAAGAAGAGGTTGTTCTCTAACTGAATCTTACTTGGGAAAAATGTGTGTTGGCTTTATTTTAATACAGATTACAATATTGTGTGGAAAATACCCTCAAATTTGTAGGTAAGTTGAATTTCTCAGGAAATATTTTGTGTCTAACTACTATGACTTTTCCCAAGCACATTTCGGATACACAAGGATACGATGAGTTTATTTATATAACAAAATGTTAATAATTATTGTGTTAATCAGCTGCGCCAAAGCGATTTATATGGAACACTTCAAAAAATTATAAATGACTGTCACGTGATCAACAAGGTCATGTGATATCATAACAAATATGTTAATATATAGCCGAGGAAACCCTCTATATAAATGGGAGTACTTAAGTTCAATACTTATAAATTAAAACTAAAACCGACCCCGCAATGACATATTATGTTTTGAGTGCATTTTAAAGCTTCGGGAAGCCTTAACATAGCTGCGTTGTCCCTTGGCATCTAATTCATGAAAATATAGTTTCTTTAATCATAAGAGTTAAGGGAACATTTTTATTTGAGTAAGCAGAGGGTTAATGAACCTTAAGTCTGTTGTCATTATACCATGTACTCTTAAGAAATGTCAGACTCTTGTATACGCCAAACAACAAAATTATTTCTGACAAACTTTTGAATGCTACCCGATAAGTTCCTTAGACAAAAATATTTTGGTAAACTGTGGGGTTTTATGCAAATTCCCCATTTAGTACTTCATACACAGTTCTAGTCAAATGTTAAATATGTGATACAAACAAAGAGCTTTATGAACATGATAAATCATGTTGACAAGCAGAAGCTGAGTTTACCCAGCCTGTTTCTTGCATTTTATTATTATACCACAATTGATTTAAAATAAATTGGCCAAAAATACTATGTATCATTGTTGTTTGGAAAAAGAACAGATTAGTTAACACTGACTCAATGATTTAGTTTTGATTTTTGTTGCAGTTCGCAGCAGTGGAACAAATGATGAGGCAGATCGAGTCTCTTTATTTCTACCGCCTCCCACTTATGATGAAGTTATCACAACAAATTTGTACCCTCCTACACCTCAAATATTACAGAGAAGGGTTTGTTTTATTTATCTATCATAAATTACCTCAATATGCTTTCTAAATTTTTGTATCAGTCTTGAGCTGTTTGTCTGAAGAGTTTATTATGTCCATACTTGGGGAATGTTTTTAGCTCACCTGAGCCAAAGCTAAAGTGAGCTTTTATTATTAAAGGGTGTCAAGCATCTGTCTGTCAATTGACATCTGTCATCTGTAAACTTTTTTTAACATCTACTCAAGAACCACTTGGCCAATATCAACCAATCAAATCACAAAGCATGCTTGGATAAAGGGAATTCAAATTTGATAAAGTGAAGGACCATGCCATTCTTCAAGGGGAGATAACTAAGAATTTCTGGATGAGAGAGCATGTTAAAGTTTTTGGAGCAGGTAAAAGTTTTAGGAGCAGATTACATTCCAGAGTAATTACATGTATAAGCCTTATGGTAACTAAACTTGCATGGATGATACATATAGGGATGTACATTACCAAACTGGCTTCAGATGATGGATCTGACCTAATTTTCCAGATGAATGAGAAGGTTAAAGTTTTTTGGAGCAGGTTCATCCCAAGTAACTATAAGCCCTATGGTGACCAAAATTGCATTGATGTTTCATCTAGGCATCTTGCTTTGGATGCTGGATCTGATCTACCTTTATCAGATGAGTGAACAGGTCAATTTTTGGAGAAGGTACATATCCAAATAGCTGTAAGCCTTACCTTGATCAAAGTTGCACAGATGATGCTAGTAGCAGATGCACACTACCAGACTGGCTCTGGATGCTGGATAAATTGATCTACATTTTCCGGATGAGTAAACAGGTTAAAACCCTACCTAGCCCAATCTTGCATGGATGATGCATCTACAGATTCTTACTATCACACTTGCTTCGAATGCTAGATCTGACCTACATTTTCTGGGTAAGTGAACAAGCTTAAGTTTTTGGAGCAGTTTCATTTCAAGTAACTAGAGGATGCATCTTGGGATGCACACCACCACACTTGCTTCAGATGCTGGATCTGACTTGCATTTATTGAAGCAAGTTCATTCCTTAGTGATGAAACTTGCATTGGTAATGCATTTAGGGATGCAAATTACAGACTCCCTTCAATTGCTGGATCTGACATAGATTTTTCAGGTTAATGAACAGTTTAATGCTAGAGAGCTGGTCCATTCCCAAGTAACTACATATTTGTTTGAGCTCTTTGATGTATGAACTTGCATTGATGGTGCTTGTTACTAGGAATGCACCCTACCAGATCTGCTTTGGAGGCTGGATCTGACCTTCATTTACATGATGATTGACCAGTTTAAGTTTTTGGAACAGGTCCATTTTCAAGTATCAATAGATCATACCTGGACCAAACTTGTAAAGATGTTATATCTACTACCAGAACATTTGTTTAGTGAGAGACTTTGCCTTATAGATAGACATTTTTTGAAGTGAGCTTTGTAATCTTTCATTACCTATGTTTTTAAGGAGGGATTCTTCTCATATTTCTTGTATTTAAAAATTAATGAAATTTTCTCAGATTCAAAATTTTCTCAGATTCAAGAAGACATTATCACTGGGTGATGGTATCAATTAGATTAAATTTGACCATTTTATTTTAGAAGCAAGGTCAGGTCAAGGTCATTATCTTTTTCCTTCACAATAAAAATAAAAAGTTACTGTTGCCAATCATGCAATGCCTACTTCTATTTCGAAAGTTGAAATACTTTTCTTTTTGCATAAAAAGATACTACTATATAAGGTCTTTCAGATGATACTACCAAATCGACATGAATAATTCAACTAAAATAGATATTGGCTAATCCAAATTTCCTCTATTTTTCTTAAATTTTTAGGATATATTAGTTATCTTAAAATGCTTCGTATATTTAAATTTTTCTTATTTTCACATATGGTAAAGTAGTCATATACAGATACAAACTGATACAAAAACAAAAAGTTTTGGCCGTTTACTAAGAGAAAAAACACTTTTTACAGATTGTTTGCTCAAATCTGTACTTAGATTGGAAGCTTTTAAAAGCTAATAAAATTGTAGTTTGTTTGAAAAATTATATTTATTTGATATATTTTAAAACTTTAGTTTCTTATTATCAATTTTACTTGCATTTAAATTTTTTTGTAAAGTCTTTGATGTTTAAAAATTTTAACGAAGTTCATTGTTCTATAGTAATGTTAAGAAGCAGAAAAGGAGATATTTTCATACTCTGTCTTTCCGCCAAAAACATAGTCCCTGCTATATTTCAAATTCAGTTTACCATTTCTATTTTAAGTTGAACAACTATGATGAGGAAAGAAAAATATTATTTTTTAAATCCCTTACATCTAAATGTATAAGACCTATAAGCAAATATACTTTGAATATCTCATCTAGTCAGAAACCAGACAAGAATCTCTCCTTAAGGAAGTATGTGACATAATTTTGAACTTTATTTACTTATTCCCTGAATTATTTAAAAGTTCAATAATTGAAGGGTATTTGTGCAACTTTTATAATGCCTGATGATGTGTACACCTCTTTTAAATCAAAATGCAAGAAAATACTAGTTAAAACTATTTTTTAAAACAAAATTTCTTCAAATATCACAAGGAATTTTATCATTTGATATCTCTTCAAAACCCTTAGTTAGGATTGATTATTTTTTTTTTTTGTCTATGAAAATGTGATGATACTATGATTTTAAATTAAGAATATCTTAAAATTGTCAGAAGGTAATGTATATTGTAAGGTACATGCACATGTATATTGCATACACCTTAAATTATGAGCCCTTGGGTTAGGGTTGGGCCAAAATCATAGGTCCATATTTTACAAAAATCTCCAGAGCAGCAGGGCCATGTTGATCCTATTGATTTTGAAGCATTCAAATGATTTTTGGATTCAATTTGGGGTAATTTTTTGTGAAATTTAAGAGAGATATTTTAAAAAAGAACATCAGGTTTAAAGTGATTCAGGTGAGAGTTGTGGCCCACAGGCATCATGTTTAGTTTTGTGAGTGTTACTTAATGTTAAATCACATAGACTTGTCACTTTAGGCATATTTCATGGAACAAGCTAGGTTTCATAAAAAGTATGCCTATATGACAAGTCTGTGTGATTTACAAATCAGTAACATTCAGAAAACTAAAAAAAAAAACACCTTATATTTTCATTTTACATTTTAACTTAAGCTGACCAAAACACACTCATGATTTTAATTTCCAGCTGATCAGTGTTATTAAAGCTCTTTTTTTTTTTAAAATTACCATCTGTGTAGTCTCATTGTGACTGCACAAATACATAATATATGCTCACGTGTATGAGTGTGAATGAAATGTTTGGTATTCAAAATCAATTTCACAGTTAGTATAGTGAAAATCACAGAAAATGTAAATATTTTGGAAAACAAAGGAAAAACCCAAGGATTTGAACTTCCATTGCTTTTCCAAACATTGTAGATAATGTGTTGTTGATGATATCTTATTTGACAAAAGGGTTGTGTATAACACTTTACTTTAGAGAGTGAGGAATGGCTACCTAGTAGGGGTTGCTTTGAGAGAAAAATATGACGTCAAATGCCTGTGATAGGAATTAAGAATCTGTATGTCTGTCAGATCAGATAACATTTGTCATAATTTGTTAATCAGATACATTAGAAGTTAATAGCCATTCTCTGTAAGCATTTAAACTCTTATATAGGGAGTGTGGCACGCTAGGTCTTGGATTTTTATGAAACTTGGCACACATTCCTATAATGATGTATGAAACTAAAATTCATAATAAAATGGTTGCTATGGTCAATGGTTACCATGGCAACCAACATACATTTTTCATGGCCTAAAAAATGCTAAATTTTGATGAAAAATGACCATTTTTGACTAATTAAAAGTCTTTAATACAACAAGATATTTACATGACTTTATCTTTTTGTCAAAATACATCATTTTTATAGTTCTTTAGATAATGTCTAGTATTTGAGTAACTTAACCTCATAGAAAAAATATCCCCCCTTTTTAAGTATGATTTTTCTAAGGAAAAATTGTAGATTTTAGGCTCTTTTGAAAAGCCTGGTATAAATTTTTGCGGACATATTAGAAAAAATAAATACATTGGTTTGAAAGTCCATATATAGTTGTAATATAAACTGCAAAGAACCACTTGGTATTCATATCTTGTTTTCATGTTACCATGGTTACAAACTAATGCTTTTTTTAAGAATTCCAGACAAGGGCAATAGGTATCTACTATCAGTTTCCATATAAATACCTGAGTATTTTAAAATGGATTAAAACCAAATTTGTACATGTAGTACACAATAGCAATAACAAAGAAAAAAATCGATTTTCATAACAAAAGGTCAAAGGTCAAGGTCAAAATGACTCGATTTAGATGGAAAAGTAAGGAAACTAAACACAACTTTTTCAATGCCATAACTAATACTTGTGTTTTAAACAACATAATTATGAATAAACAAAATTACAGTTCTGGTGGACAATACATGTAACTAGCATCACATGAATTGGTAAATACGGACAGAAGGTCAAAGTTCAAGGACACAATGGTATATAAAATTTGCCTTTTTGTCCCCTGCTTTCACTTAAAGTGGGGGATATTTATTTGGGTCTGTCTGACGTCTATCCGTCTGTCGTTCTGCAACACTTTCGTTTCTGCACGATGTCTCGTGAAGCCTTTGAGTCTTTGCAGTGAAAGTTTATGTAACAACTCCCTGTGGCCTAGGGAAGACCCCCATTGATTTTAAGGTCAAAGGTAAAGGTCATGAATTCATAAATTCTGTCTGTTTTAACACTTTATTTCCACGCAATATCTCAAAAACTTCGAGCTTTTGCAATGAAATTTTACACTGAAACTCCCTATGGCCTGAAGAAGACCACTATTGATGTTGAGTTCAAAAGGTCAAAGGTCAAGGTCAAAAATTTATACATTCTGTTTGTGTGTAAAATTTTCATTTCCGTGTGATATCTCAAGAAGCTTTTAAGCTTTTGCAATGAAATTTTATATCATAACTCCCTTTGGTCCCGCCTGCAACTCTTAAAGTATCCCGTCCCCCCAACCGCACCATCCTCCGACTCCACCCCTCAAGATCCGTACATGCTCTTTTTTCCTTAAGCATGGGACACAGCTTCTCTGAATTAGCTTGTTAGTATAGCATTTAACTTGAGTCCTTGAAAATAATTTGTCCCTGCCTTCTTCCTATGGTTTTCATTTTTTAAAATGAACATGATAAAGTAACCATTGACCAGGACTTACTCTATCCCTTCCAGGAACCGTGTAAAAGCACTTACCCCACATAAATTGGTAAGAGTCATTTGTAAGAAAAACACGGATCCCTTGTGAAACATTAAGAAGCGTTATATATAAATATGAAAGAAAGCGGTTCATACATAAGTGATTAACCCCAACCCGCCCCCATTCCCGAGTATAGATTTTTTGTGTTTAATTTTATGATTTTTTTTCTTTAGGTAGAAAGGGGTGGGGTGGGGGTGGAGGGCTTGTCAGAAATTTATTTATGTTTTCATTATCAATAAAATTCAGCTACACAGATTTACTATTAATTTTACTGCTACAAGGTTCAATCTACATTTTTCTTAGTCTAGAGAAATGATAAACTTGATAAAAATGATAACTTTAAATATGATTCAGACAATTTGTATTTCTATGCAAACACCCCCCCCCCCCCCTAAAAAAATCAAAAGTATAATTTTCACTGGTCGAAAGGAATCAATTACAAAACAAAACATTTTCATTACTGACCTTAACAATTTTTTTTATTCTTTTTTTTTTTTTTGGATAAAGACCGTTCCCTTAAAGAAAATACTTGGATCAGGAACATTATCAATTTCTTTGTAAATATTTTCAAAGTCATTAAATAAAAAGTTCAAATCTGAAATATACACAGATAACTTTTCTCTCTTTTTTTCTGAATCAGATACAGATAAAGGCAAAAAAAAAAGGTAGTATTAAAAAGATTGAGTTTTCTGTTACATCCCTCACTAAAACAGGGTTGTTTTCTACATGTAGCCTTTAAATAGAGATAAAATATACTTTTACGTTCTTTAATTTTAGGATGAGGGTGTAAAGAGTATCAGTTTATATTTTAAATGTAGCAAATCCTATCAAGTGAAAACACACATCATATAAAAATTGTAAATTACGAATGACATAAATTCTGTTTAAAACTACATAATATGACTGCGTTGACTATTGGTTAAGGGAAGACCATTTGATTCAGAAGGGGGGGGGGGGCAAATTTTTTCCGAGTCAGATTATTTATTTTCATGGAATTGAAGGACAGATTATTTATTTCCAATATGATCCAGGACAGATTATGTATTTTTTGCTTCACTGAAAAAAGTCTGAAAATAAAATAAACAATCCATCCCGCCCCAAGGGAAAACGCCCAAACTTTATTTCGTGGGGGTGGGGTGGGGGGTTTTAACCCATAGTATAATAATAATACTTATTATAATATGGGTTAAAAAATTATTACCGAAACAAGTGCCTTTGGGTTGGAGGTTGTAGCACTTATCAAAGATGGATTATTTATTTTCCTGCCAGTTGAAGACAGATTATTTATTTTCAACATTTTCAAGAATGGACTTTAGTTTCTAAAATCTGTAAACCCCCCCCCCCCCCTCGCATCAAATGGCCATCCCTTTTATGACAGACATCAACTTACATACATCATTCAATACAAACTTCAACTTCCAGTTCTGTACAAACATGTAAATGTAGCTTGACTTTAATTATTTAGGTAAAATCAATAGCCTAGTTCTCTCACATTATAATTCAGTTTTTTTTTCCACATTTGTTTTAAAAAGGCACTGACTTTCCAAGGCTGTATTCATTATAATATATCACTCTGACTGAGACACTGTACCTCTTCTTACAACCAATTCAATATAATTCTGATATCTCAAGTTTATCTTTTATCTCCATTTTAAAACTCCTAAGACCTTGAGGCTTAGGCTTCAATATCATGAATGAATCAGAGCTTATTTCCTGTACCATGTGGTCTTTTACATTTCACCACTATTCACTCATCAAAGTTATTCTTTTGCATGCAAGAAATAAACAAAGAGGTTAAAATTTGTATGCACATTAAATAAACAAAAAAACCACTTGATTTTACTTGAAATCCAGGATACATGTTGATAATGTAAACAACTTCCAGTCAGTTTTGTCCAATGATTTTTTTATCTCTCGCACTAAAGAGCTCACAATTATCAAAGGGAGATAATTCAATTTTTAAATGAATGTCTGCTATTTTAATCATAGATTTCTTATATTTATAGACTGAATACCAACAATGTTTTAAAATGCCTTTTAAAATCGGATGTCATACTTTTTATTTCTGTGAGTAACATGAATTGAAGTAGCCGCATTTCATTGATTGACATTCCCAAAAATTGCATTTTTTCAGAAAAAATCAACTTTAGACACTGTTTCCATGGTAACTACTCAACATTCATATGATCTAACAATATTTTTTGGAGTAGTTTATGAGGTGGTAAATTCTAGCCAAATTTGAAAAAAATCTGTGACTATGCGTGCCACAAAAGTTTAAGTGGTTACAGAGAATGGCTATTAAAACTTCATGCAAAAGCGAGTGCAGTGACCTTGACCTAAGATGTTTTGGACTAGCCAAGGTTACAGACAAAAAAGAGTTAAAATTTTATATCTGGATTAAAATTTCATATAAAATGATGAGCAACTTGACACTGAGGTGTTTATAATCCGAAGTTCTCGTGACCCTGATCGTATGTTGTTTAAATTATAAGGGCAATGACAGATGTCATTTAACCCAGTGGATTATTCAGATCTTGATCCAAGTTCATAGAACCCTAAGGTCTTAGCTAGAGAAAGTGTAAATTTTCTTCCTGGGTATACTCGTAATGTTTATTATTAAGAAATAATAGAAATCTAAACTTGACATTATGTTGAATATGACTGTGGACTTATCTTGACCTTGACATAAGGTCATTCAATTTGAAAATGCCATGGGCAAAATTATGAAATTCTTTTAAAAGCTATATGTAATGTTATGATTAAAATAAATAATGCATGTTCATATATGTTATTTAGCTTGCTTGCAGTCCTGATGATTAATTTTGAAGATAAGATATATATACAATTATAATTCCCTAAAAACAATGTTAAGTTTTCATTAAATTAAAGCAGGAAGATAGGAAACACCAGAATATAGAAAATTCTGGCTACATCATAAATTGTTATAGACAGAAGCTTGATATTGAGTAATATTTAATTATGTAAATTTTCATAGTTCTGGAATAATAGTCATGATAATAAATTTGTTTTTAGCATTGTCAAATTAAATATGAATAAAGTTGAGCTACTTGGCTTGTAGAGTTAAAAAAAAACCTAAAATTATTCACAAAGAATGTCTATATATTGAAGCTTCCATCAACACTTCCTCAAAAAATACTTACTATTTAGTTTACTGATTCCTCAATAAATGCTTAGTTTACAGAAACCTCAAACAATTAGCCTACTTAGTATAAAAAAAAACCTCAATAGAAAAAAAAATCCCAATAAAAACATGTATACAGATTTCTCAATAAAAACATGTTTAAGATTTCTCAATAACTATTTTTTTTTTTTTTTTTTTACAAAATGATGATAATTTTTTTCATTCATTACAGGACAGGATAGCTTCATCTGAGGAACCAATGACACCTCCCCCAAATTATGATACAGCTTTAATTCTACTATCTAGGAGTCACGAATCTGTGTTGTCACCAAAACATGAGGGAGAACCCAAGAGACCCCCAGTCAATAATGGTTATCGAAGAAGTTTATCAGTTGACCAGTTAAGTCCAAATTCAGGAGACACTAGTGTTCAGATATTTCAGTATGACGAGACTGCAGAACCTAATCCAGACAAAACAAATCTTAACACTATATCTGAGATAAGGTGACAGACATGTCATCACCATAGAATTTCTCATGTTACCAACTGAAAGTGGGATTGTACTCTAATTCCAAGAGTTCTAAAGACCCTATACTGCAATGCAGTGCATTGTGGTGTAAAAGCCATGAACTGCATACAGGAGCTGCAAGATCTTGCATGGAATTTGAAAAAAAAATGTTTACAACTGTAGAGTGATGATTTATCAATGTAGGATAATGTTTTTGGTTCTTAGTTGTGCATATAAATTAATGCTAAACAGTAAGTGTGTACATGTAAGTGTATTCTGTTAGCCTGCCTATTAAATTTGTAGAAAAGGTGTTTCTACATTCTAAAACACAGTGGAAAAAGATATTTGAAGCACTGTGTTATAAACAAAATAAAGAATATGGAGGACTTATTGTTTCATATTCAGAATGATGCTTTGCTCATTTAATTTTTTAATTTTTCAACAAATTTTTAAAACTGTGATTTGTTGATTTTGCTCTCCAAAATCTTCATCTTCAGAAAGCTTTATTCATTGCCTTTTTTTCTGCCATGTGCTTGTGCTGCCATTTTGCTTTTGTTATTTTTCACACAGTGTTTGAATGTTGTTTTTTTAAAATGTTTTTGTTATATAGGATTCACCAAAGCTTTGTTAAATGTTTATTCTAAAAGGCATGAAATATATTTTTTATGCCATATGATATGATATTTTTTGTGTTAGCAAAAAAAATGGAAAATTTTCCAGTTCAGTCAATAATCTTGAGAAAAATTTCTTATCTTCTACATCTGTTGCAACTAAATTAAAGAAAACATGAAACTTAAAAAATCAAAATTTAAAAGCTACTTTTTTAGGATCTATTTGCAAAAAGTTACCAATACGAGGGTTGTTCGGAAAGTTCATGGACTTCTGTCATATCTTTTTTATTTAACGTCATATGTCATCCAAATTTGGTAGAAATATTTTAAGAATAAATTTAAATGATTTGTATTAATTTTTTCAAAAATATCGTGATTTATTTAAAACTTATCCAGAATTAAAAACTGCAAAAATCAGATCGCGGCGCAGGTCAAACTTTAGTAATTTACAAACAAAACAAAATATCTGTAGTCATCTTCTCTGTAAAATGGAGCAAAAATGAAAAAAATCCTAGACGGTTAAATTAAGAACTATTACATCGATTCTTATTCAAAAATTTGGCTTAATATTTAGCTTCGGTAAAAAGAAATCAATTTGAGAAGATAGGTAGTCCTCATTGAAAACAACAAAAACGATGACGTTGTAGAACGTCACGGAGCAGCAGATAACGGTGCAGTTTTGTGTTAAACTCGGGGAAAATCCTGAATAAATGCTAAAAATGTTGGAGGAATCAGAAAATATGCCACAAGCGAGTCGTACATGTGTATGTAAATGGTACAAGCGGTAACTGATTGACAGAGACTCTGTATCGGACGAGGACAATCTGTGAAGAAACGGCATAACTGTAAAAATCTGAACGAAAACTTTATAAAGTTGGGACGTCATGGAAAGACGTAGGCACTTCAGAGTTGCTGATCTTGTGAAAGCACAGTTAAGCGGTAAAAGAAATTAAAACATTGACAAAGGAAATTATACAACGAGAACAATTATTAGAAAAATAAATGTCAAGTGATTGAAAAAGGTTTTTAATTCGTGGGTATTGGACTATACTGTGTGAATGTATAGGGATAGAATTTTTAAGAAACTCTTGGCGCTATGTTTTTGACGTTACATAGCTTTTAAGTGTGCGCCGTGGTTACAAAACATGTTGATTTTAAAATGAAGTAAATTAATTTCTATCAAATCGAATGGAATGAAATTCCACAGATCAACAAAACAAATATTTTTACACATGATGTTGTGCTCATTTTATATTTCTTGGAAGTAGTATAACAAAGATTGACATCGTCCACGAACTTTTCGAACAACCCTCGTATAGAAATTATTCTCACACTGTTTTAAAAATACATATCTGATTAACATTCCATGCAGTGAATAAAAAGAAGTGTTAACTGTTATTACAGTATTTTTTTTCTAGATAGTTTTGCATCATTTTGTATTTTACACAACTTTCCTTTTTGGGATCTTTGGAACAACTACTGATAATCATTTGGATTGATCAATGATTTCTGGTGCTATTATTTAAATATGATGATGTTATTGCAAAAAATTCGATCTCGTACAGATTTGAAAAAAGTTCCAGTTTTATGCAAAACTTGCCAATTCATGATCATTAATCATCTTTTATCCTGGTAGGAATTGAGACCAATTGTCACAAGCCAAGGGTCAGGAAAATACATTTAATAATAGATTAGGAAGCCCCAGAAAAATAACGGTCAATGTTATTACAAAAACAATTCAGTACATTGTATTATTTTTTCTTATGTATAATTTACCACTTAGTTAATACAGTAAAAGTTTTCTAATTTGGACACCTCTAACTCCATAGAAATTTACAGAAGCCCATTTAGGACCTATCAAAAAATATTTTTGAATTCGATATAACGATTTGTCAAATTTGTTATAACGAATTTAATTCATTATAACAATTTCTTTGAATTCGTTATAGCGAATATAATGTGTTATAAACAAATTTGTTGAATTCATTTTTAGCGAATTTAACAATTTTTATAACAAATTTGTTTAAACGAATTCAAAAATTTGTTATAATAAATTAAATTTGTTTAAACAATTTTTTAAATTTGTTATAATGAATTAAATTCGTTTAATCAAATGCAACAATTGGGGCCTGTAGAAAAATATATGTGAATTTGATATAACGATTTGTTGAATTCGTTTTAAAGAATTCAGTTCGTTATAACAAGTTTTTGAATTTGTTATAATAAATTTAATTTGTTATAACAAATTTTTGAATTCATTATAACGAATTCAACAATGTTGCTATAAATGATTTAATTCATTATAACGAATTCAAAGAAATTGTTATAATGAATTAAATCCATTATAACAAATTCGATAATTCGTTATATCGAATTCAGAAATATTTTTTGATAGGTCCTAAATGGGCTTCTGTAGAAATTGACCGCATTAAACAAAATTATAACCAAACTGAATTTACTCAATGGGACTTAAAGTTAACGTCACAATAGGCAAGATTTTAGAGTACACAATGTCCATATAAGGAAAGTTTTACTGTACTGATAAGTAAAAGGGCCATTGTTTCAAATTCTTTTGATATATAATCCCACTACTACTATGTAAGGGCTTTTTCACTCACTTTTTTATTTTTGCCCTATTACACACGACTTTGCCCCATTTTGAATTCACCCACTGATGACGATGAAAGAACCAAAATAAAACGAGGGAGAAATTAATGTACATGGTATTGAATGACATTTATGTATGTTTAGTTCATTATGTTGTTATGGAGAAAATTAGTTTAATATACATGCTTGTGGAAAGTGAGTTTTTTAAAAGTATGATTTAATGTATAAATCCCCTAACTGTCCCATTTAAAAGAAAAGGTGGTCTGTCTCTTTTATTATTTCATGTTTTAATTCAAGTTAAAAAAAATGAAAGCTAATGATTCTTTTTATTTTTATTTTGTCTTTCAAAGTTGAAAACAGATGGTGGAAACTTAAGAAAAATTATCTTTATATTCTAGAAAATGTGCAATTTTTATAGTTAATTCAATACAAGTTTTGAATTGATTTTGAAGTCCATATATATAAGCAGAGGGTGCTCCTTAACATGCAGTGGCATTTCATTTTAAATAATTTCATGTTATTTGAGCGTAAACCTCGGCTGGAATTGTGATCTGTTCTGTAGGATAAATATATTTTTCTATAGTACGAAAAATAAAATATTTATGTATTTATGCTATGTTTTGCTCAAATCTCTGTCTTAACAGTCACTAGAATATATTTTGCTTGATAAATAGACATAAAAATTAGTGTAATTTATTATTATGTTTTATACTAATATGTAGCAAATCCCTTTTCAAAAATAGATAGAGCAGAAATTAATTATCATAGTGATTTTCTATGTGCCAAATAACTCCACCTTTTTAGGAAATGCTCATTGAAAATGTATCTAATGCAGTAGTAAATTGTACTTAATATGGTCTTTCCTTTTTTTTAATATTTATATCAATTGTTCATATTTTGTTCTCATGGATTGCCAGATTTGTTGTTTACTACCAGTTATTTATTTATATGATAAAGATATCCAGAGAAATCTGTTTTAGAACAAGATCATGTTGTCTACAGTGCAATTTCAGTTTTTATGAATATATTTCTTTCAATATTTGTTGGAAAATGACCATTTTAATGACATACTGTATATGAGTCACTAACTGTGTAGATTGACTTGGAGCATAATATCAATTTTATATCAGTCATTTTGTCTTTTTTAATGGTTTGAAGATGCTTGCTACTATATTTTAGTTTGTTTTATTTGCTGTATCGTTTTGTAAATGTAAGAACATTAGTTTCTTTGTCCTTATTTGTAGTCCAAAACTCACTTTTCTCTGGTGCAAGTTTGAAGGTTGCCCATCCATTGTCCATCTTCTTGATAAGGGAGATAACTCTCACTGGGGATAAATGGCTGTCATTCCTTTATAATTATGTCAGTTTAAAAGGCAATTTCTTTCACATCCTGCACTGCAAGGTGTTCTTATATTGTGTATATTTTAAGTATATAATTGTTTGGTTTTTTTCTTGTTTTATTTTAGGAAAATTAGTATCAAAGCAAAATTTTATACGAGTAAAAAAGGGATTTCACTGTAATTTGACTTATAGAAAAGACATTAATAGCCACGGTCCCTCTCAGGGTTTTATAACAAGGAAATAATGAAAACAGGGTTTCATACAATCTTTGTGTTTTGTGGATATCAAGAAGTCATTTATTGCAAAAATAACTTTGTGCTAGAGGTGCAGAGGTGCTAAAACTGTCTTTCAATTATTTTCATTTACATTAAAAAGGCAATTTGTGAAATGTGGGTTGGAGTTTGTTCAGAGTTAATAACGGACCTAAATGAAATTCAAATCTGAAATAGCAAGTGTGATGCTTTTTCCCTCAAGGGCATCTTATTCCTTTCAAATTCTGTATACAACTTTTCTTCATATGCAACTAACTTTGGCAAGGTTTGGGAGGATAAAAGAATAAGAAGTTTGTGGGTGTGTACAATTTTAAAAATATTGTCAGTATTTTGAAAGTAAAGAAAATTTAGGACTAAAAAATTGCATAAAATCAAGAAAGAAAGTACTTTGGAAGGAAAATACAATTAAAACACAATAGGATTTTTCTTGTATTTATGTAAATTTATACAATTACAGGGGGACATACTTTTGACAGATGTAAACTATATCATTATGCATTAAATTTGTTCGAATTGTAATTTTTCAGAATAATTATGAAGTTGACATAGCATACAAATCAATTGTTAATGCATACTTGTGATATATATACATATATATATAATAAATATTTTTATTTACATGAAGTTTCATGTTCCTTTGTAATTTGGTGTGATTAAGGATCAATTCAGGACAACAACAGGAAAGACCTATAGGGCCAGGATTTTTTTTTTTTTTTACCAAAAAAAAATTATTTACGTTTCAGTTGATGACTTAAGGCTACATGTATGTGTTAGTTTCTCTCACATAGTTTCAGTTCTAGTCAATGCACATTGTAAGTAGAGAATGGAGGAACCTTTGCATAGACAACTAGGATGCATCATGATATTGTCGATAATTTTCTTTATTATACACCCAACAAACGAAGTTTGGGGGTATATAGGAATTACCTTGTCCGTCTGTTCATGCAATCTTGTCCAGGTATAACTTTGTAATGGAGAATCATTGGAAGCTAAAACTTGGTATAAAATTGTTTATGACTTGTGGGTGTATAATGACCCCAACTGAATGTCATTCCGACAAGTTCAAGATGACTGATAAAAAGAGTATAGAATTCATATCCAGGCTGATACTTTGTAATGGTGAATCGTTGAAAGAGCATACTTGGTACAAAATTTGTTTATGACACAGGTGTTTTATGACCTTGATTGAGGGTCATGCCAGCAAGTTCAAGGTGACTGACAGAGTATAGAATTCTTGTCCAGACTAAAATTTTGAAATGAGAATCATTAGAAGCTCATACTTGGTACAAAAATAGTTTATGGCCTGAAGATGTAGCATAACCTTGACACAAGGTCAAATTCAAGGTCACTATCAGAAAAAGCACAAAATTATTGTCCAGGTGATAACTTCGTAATACAATGTAATTAAAATTAGATCCTAAGTTACGCTCCTGTATTTTGTTACATAGCGACATAACAAAATACAGGAGCGTAACGGATCTAATTTTAATTACATTGTTCGTAATAGAGAATCACTGGAAGCTTATTCTTGGAACAAAAATTGTTTATGACCTGAAGGTGTGTCATGACCTTGACCCAGAGTCTTTCTTGCAAGTTCAAGGTCACCAACAGAAAAGGTATTAAACTTGTCTAGTCTATAACTTTGTAACTGAGAATTATCACAAGCTCGTACTTGGTATAAAGATTGTTTATGACCTGAGAGTGTGTTAAAACCTTGACCAAAGCTCATTGTGGCAAATTCAAGTTCATTGGTATAAAAAGTGTAAAATTCATGACAGGTCTAGAGTTTTCTCATGGAGAAACATTGGATGTCTAATTTCACAAAAGATAACTTATGACCAGATGATGTGTCGTTTTTAAAACTAAATTAAAGACATTTTTGGCAAGTTCAGGGTAACATTTTCAAAATTTGAATGAGCCATTTAACGAAAAAGCAGCAAAGTTATCATTTTGTGAGCTCGCTTACAGTACCTCTAGTTTGTCATTGTAATGTCTACTCTTCATTCCCTACAACACATTCACACAACATATTTCCTTGGAAATGCTTTTAGAAAACCTGTCATTGATGTACGGTAAACAAATTATGAGAAGTTCAGATACTGATATGTAGCCCTACAATTTAAACCTGAGCTGAATTTAGCCTATTGTTTTCAAAGTGTATATTTTACATGTTATTGTAAATTTTTTAGCACAAATGTTTCTATTATCTATAAACAAGCACTAGTAGGACAAAGAAGATAAAAACATAAATGATTTTATTAAATTCTAGGGTATATCAAACTGTAGCTTATTGCAGATGATTGAAGCTTTCAGGTTTACTACTAAAGATCATGGTATTAATATGGAAATATTCTACTGAAAGGTATAGTTAAGGTATAAAAACGAAATGATTCTTCATACGTTTAAATATACTTCCTTAGTTGTTAACAGTTCTAAAATGTATGCATGTAATATAATCAAATTCAATGAAAGTGCGAGACTGGAAAACGGTATCGTAATTTTTTCCCGGAAAAGTTCTTGAGGCAATAACAGGATATTCAGACATGTACTCGGTCATCAGCAACTGATAGTTCCTGTTTTCTTGCTTTTTGTACCTTCGAAAATTTTTCACTCATATTGGGATGCACTAATCAGAAATTTCATTTGACTTTAAATCCCTTGATGAATAGATATACACTGCATCTTCTTTTACTAATTATCGCTCTACATTGGCAATTGCAGATTGCTAATTAATAAACGACAATATATCACTCATCAAGGGATTGATAATTAAAAGAACATTTCCACTGGTTTTATTAAAACTACATAAAATTTGTGCGAAAACGAAATGTTCAGCATTTTGTGCAATAAAATTCACTATATACCTACATATTGTTCTTCAAAATCTCTTATTAATTGCCTTCACCCTTTTATAGAGGTTTCAACTATTAAAATTCAATTTCAAAGAGCAAGGAATAGCGGAATCACATTATCATTATAGAATCAACAGAAACACCATGAGAGCAAAACTCCAATACAAGTGAAATTTGTGTGAAGTGAAACACAGTTTCGGCACAGCAATGTTAGTAGGTTGTTCTATTGATGCTAAAACTTTAACGAACACTGGCGGGTCTTTCGATTCAAAAGCAGATATTTCAATTGCAGAAATACTTCCATCACTGGCCTCAGTAAATTTCATTGATTTATAATTTATAAGTCCAGAAATCAGTCCTACCGACTTAACATAGAATACGTCTTTGGTCCTTTTTGCATAAAGGTCAAACTGACCAAATCCGTACTGGAGGGATAGTTGACCTTGATTCTCACTCACAGAGACATACCCATAGGGGGTGTTTTTGTATAGACCTACATACTCGCTCACATTTCTGGCGGGTGTTCTTTTGGTGTTTATTTGTGGTTTAGATGAAGACGTTTTAGTCTGAAAAGGTTCTGGAAATGAACACATTATAGTGGCATTGAGCCAGGGGTCCTCGCCCAGGTACATGTCTGAAACTAAATTGTGAATATTGGAACGATATAAATAGCCTGGATCATCTCCAGTCATTACGGAGAACACGCCTAATTGCATGTCGGGATATAATGTTAGTTTGGCTCTGTATCCAAATGTACTTCCAGTGTGAGAAAGAATTTTGTATCCTACAAAATCAAAGAAAAAAAATCAAATAATTTTAACGGAATAGAATTAAAAGACTTTCATAATTTAAGCAAAATGTAATGTCATTATTACTGTACTTCTAGTATTAATTTAACCAACCATCATAAGAATGAATATTCTTTTAGATTTATGAATGTTTAAAATACATGTAATGTCCATTAAGCAAATTAATTAATTCTTCAAAACCTTGATTTACATTTTGAATGTGACATGTGTAGTGTTTATGACAATGTTTAAAAACATTTGCTTTTTTTACTTTCTTACAAAAAAAAGGAAAGAAAGATGATATCTGGTTGGATTGTATTCACGAGTCTCCTGAATATTCGTATTGTTTTAATTTGATACACTATGGAATAGGGCCATGTAGTTCACTATCGCATCATCGCACCATCGATAGTCGATAGTGCGATGAAGTAATAATGCGAGGACGATGATGTGATGACGATGAAGCGATGGTGCGATAGCGGAATGGCGATGATGCGATGGCGCGACAATGTGATTACAATGATACAATGGCACGATGAAGCGATAGCGCTATAACGATGGTACGATGAAGCGATATTAACTATCGCTCCATCGTGCTATCGCATCATCGTCATTGCATTGTTGTGCCATCGCATCATTGTCATCGCACTATCGCATCATTGCTTCAACGTCATCGCACCATCGTTATCGCATTATCGCGCCATCGACCCTTTAGTCGATGCTCGATGGTACGATAGTGAACAAGATGGTCCCATCCGGACTCCATAAATACACACCTCTGTAGTAACCGTTTTTCCACCCCATGGCATAAGAGTCCTCACTTAGAGTTACCGGAATTGTTGGTCGCGTGAAGTATTTAGATATCGAGCTACTGGAAACCCTAAGTTGTGGAGAATGCATCATAGACAGTCGACTTTTCGATAATAATCGTTTACCGCTTCTAGATTCTCCGCTGCCTAGGTGAAACAACATCCATTTTGCCATGTCGTCGGACGTACTCAAAACACAACCCGACCCACATAAACCACCCCACCGTCTGCAATAAAATATGATATCTTTCAATCTACATTGTTCAGAATGCATGTTTAAAAAGAAGTACATATATATAATTTTCTCATGATGATAATTTCAAATACATATGTACTTGACATAGAATAAAAAAAGTTTTTAATTAAGTGAATTCCAAAAGTATAGTACAAATATAGACATACATGTATACTGTTAAGTGTTAAACTTCAAAGTTCAAGTATTTCCTTTTTTCTGTTCAAAATCAAAAGCACACCGTGGTAAAATTTGAGAGTTAGTCTGTTTTTATGCTTATCATACCTGGAAAATTCCCAAGGAACTTCCGTGAGCTCCCCATAATTATCCAGGTAACCTTTGGCTAGTTCCAGTTTTGTGGGGTCGGCAGTTGTGGCGAAATTAGATGATGTCATTTCTAGAGTATCAAAAATATGCTCCTTAATCAATTCCTCCCAGCTTTTTCCTCCAATCATCTCCGCTACTCGAGTTAGCAACCCATACATTAAATTGCTGTAGAAGAAGCTGTCTCTAAATCTACCTGTCCTATCCAAATGTTTCAATCTTCTGAAAAAAATTAAACGGCAGCTTTAGCACCATAATAAGCGCCGTATGGCGCCATATGAACATTCTACGTATGTGTAATCGTAATAATTAAAACGATTATTAAGATGGACGCAGGCAAATCAGAAAATTAAATGGTGCTATAAGGAGGTATAACACATTAGGAAATACCATATAATAGTTGGAAAGTATCTGATAAATATAGGACATATTTGATATGAAAAAACTACTTTGAATCTTGCGAATAATAGCATTTTTAGTGTAAATTTACTGAAGAAAAAGAATTCAAAATTCAAAAATTTAAAATCCATGCTGAAATCTTGGCCCATCTACATGAATACCTTATAAAACCAACGCTGTAAGTCACTGAGCTACCTTAAAATAATAAAAATTCGAAACAAAGAAGACAAGCGATCTAAATTAAACTTTACTTTTGGGACGTGCATTCGTCTGGGAAAAAATTGTGAAGATGTGTCATTCATTTCTAGCATTTATTTCAAACCCACTTACCACTTCTGTATACAATTACATGTAAACAAGTTATACTTATTCCTTTTAATGGACCCTATATTTTGATCTTCTACTTAACTTCAGGTCAAGAACCTTACTGGATTAAATTTTCACGGGTCAAATTGGTGTCCAGTCGAATGGCGTTATTGCCCGGAATGCCCATTCGATGTGACAGGAGATCCCGGATTGTAGAGTACCGTGAGAGTATCTCGTCTTTGAACAAAGAATCATCATCAAACAGGACTCTCAGTGGGGTATCAACTGTGTATCTGAAACAGTGTACAATAAAAAACTAAAAACCGGAGGTTTCTTTATAAGCTTAGTCATAAAAAAAATCAGTCACATACTGATACTAAAAGTACTGGATTCTCCTCCCGTTTTTTTTTTTGTTTGTTTGTTTTGTCTTTTTTTTTTTTTATTTGTGTTTTTTTAGCCCACATGAGCCGAAGACCCAAGTAAGCTCCTCTGCTTAACATTTGTCCGTCGTCCATCCATCTTTTGAATGATATTTTTCGCGTTTCCACGTCTTCTCTAGAACCAGAGGACCAATTTCAACCAAACTTGGCACAGGGATTCCTTGGTAAGGGGAGAATCATTAAATGGCAAAAAATAGGTCGGCATTACAAATCTGATGAAGAACCACTGGGCTGGGAAAGGCAAAACTTATCTGAAAGCTTTGTCACATTGAGTAAATTCAAGTTTCTTAAAATCCTGCCCCTGAGTCTTGGGTGGGATCAAATAAAAGGAGTCAAAGATACTCATAGTGTAAGAATGTATCAGAAAAACCTTTCTAAATATTCTGCTCAAGATCAAAAGGGTCGCAATTATCCAAGTTTATGTGAGAGCATCGTCATACAATATTAAGGTAGATTTGTTCAAATCATCCCCCCTCCCCCGAGCTAGGAAGGATACAACAATAGAAGGTCGAGGTTCTACAAAGGGCCAAATAAATAAAATTATTTTCTGTTTAGAATTGCCTCTCGCCTCATTGAAATGACCCCTCCTGGAAAAATTTAATTGACCAAAAATAAGATTTTTTTTATTCAATCAATTCTTGGCCTGTTACGACATGTGCCACCCAATCACTTAATAAGTGTAGGATCTAAGCAAAACTGGGTTCCTGGTTGATAAGAAGATACCCTTTTACAAAAAGAAAGAAAATAATGTGTTCATCCCTTATTGAGATTTTTATCATCAATTTTTAATTTAACTTTAATTTTGAAAAAAGAAAGTTCCCTCCCTCCTGGGTCTGAAACCTCCCAGGCGGCTTTTCCAAACAAACAATTTTTTAAGGATGGCCTAGGAATATATAAAAGCAAAACTCAAAAAACAATAGGGCATTAATGAATTAGATTGACACATGCATCCCCAAGTCGTGTAGATTTAAGTTTGTTCAAATTTTGGACTTGGAGTTCGGATTGGGCCATAATAGGAGTTTTATTTTTAGAATATATAAGGAAAAATCTTGAAAAAAAACTTTTTCTTAAGATAAGCAAGGCCACAATTAATCATATTGGCATGCAATCATTCTCAAGTAGTGCAGATAAAAGTTTGTTCAAATCATGTGCAGGGCTGTGATGGAGCCAGATGGTCAAAGTCTAGTAGTATAATACAGGATTTTTTTTTATAAAAGTTGTTTCAAGAATACAATCAATCAAAATCATATACGAACATCTACATAAATTCTAGTATATCAATTTTGTACGATTCGTGGCCCCTGGGGTAAATTGGGATATTGAAAGGGGTTTGACAGGGAAACATAAAGGGAAAATTTTAACGATCTTCTCTGTGGAAGAACACAGATCCATTGTTAGTCATATTAATATGCAAAATTCCCATGAAGGAAGTTTCAAAATTCAAAGCCCCCCCCCCCCCCCCCCCCCGTGCGCAAGGTTGGGGCCACAATAAGGGGATCGATCAAGTTTGACATAAGAATATATATATAGGACACGGTCTTTAAATTTTTTCAAGAACAGAAAGTATATTATTATATACTATATGTCGTATTTATAAATAAACATTACAATGGCGTGGATATTGGGGAAAAAATTAGTATATCGATAAACAAAGGGTACCAAGGAATTAAGAAGGTTCTTTAAACAGCTTAATCACAATGAAAGCAGGATGTTTCTTCTACCGGAAAAAGACAAGAAGTTCGGGAGAAAAATAAACAAAATAATGAAAAAAAGGAAGAAAGAAAAGATCGACACAAGCATATTATTAGTAATCTTTCAAGTGGGTTTTAAATCCAATATGATCCATAGACCAATAACAAGAGTGTTTTAATTTTACAAACATTCATACGATGTGCTTTGGTTTTGTTCGGAGATTCTAACGAGATTTGGGATGGCAGGGGTTGCGGACGGATAGAGTTCCTGCACGGTGAGATAAGAAAAGATAATGTAAACATTATGGTATAGGATTAAAAGAATCTAGAGGTAGCAATATAAAATATTTGTTTTACTGCATCTATCGATCGATTTTGCGATCGGCAGTTGTGGCAAAGTGATTAATGATTATAATGACATGTATATCTAATCCATTAAATTATTGAAAATTCATTAATTCATGCAAAGTGTACATACACTTTTGTTGAATCATAGACCAGTATTTCATTTTTGAAATTTCGAGATATTTTAGACATCTTAATGCATTAAAAAGCATTTATCTATTCCAACTCTCTAGTGAGGAAAAAGGGATAAGAATGTGTGGGTTCGTCTTCGTCCTCACTGGTGGAAATTCAGGAAAAAACGAATTAACCCCCCCCCCCCAATCAAAAAATAAATCAATAAAAAAATAAATATAAAATTTTTATTAAACTAAAAGTATTCAAAAAATGCATTTATTTTAATTATATCTATTTATTTATTTTTATTTATTTATCATTTTTTGTATTAATAAATAATTTTTTTACAAGTACATGTATTTAAAAAAGGTGTTTCTCATGTTTATGGGATTTATATTTGAGATTATCTCAAAATTTACTTTGTTTATCCTAAATTTTGGAACCACGATAACGAAAACAGTGTGAACTAGGTATGAAGATAAAAAGCGCGGCTATTTGTTAGTAAATGACTACTGTATTTAATGTAAGTTTAAATCCTTTATTTAAAAAAAGTGTTGAAAGAGTGCACAACAATTCATATAAATTTATATTTAATGAAATAGATGGTTCTAGTCATTGAACATTGATTAAGTTACTAAATAATTTGAAATGAAATTTATGTCTTACTTGCTATTTTCATCCAGTAATTTAACAATCAAAGTTGCAGCAAATGCCTTAGAAAGGGACGCCACACCAAAAATCGTAGATCCGCTCACGTTCATCTGGTGACCCGAAACTCTGGAGCCAAATCCTCGAGAATACTCGACTTTCCCGTCTTTGACTACAGAAATGGCGAGGGCTGGATTGTTCCTACATTTTAAAGATTCTTCGATGGTATTTGTTATTTCCTCTGAAATTCCATTTCTGCTTGCATATGTGCCTGACATTAGGACAACGATCACCAGGGACAACCTCATCATAGTGAATTGGAGCGACGGAGACTTTCGTACGTTATCTTAGTATCAGTTTCTCCTATCTGCTAATTGGTTCGCAGCTGACACGATTTAAGACTTCCCTGACATCTGATCCTCATCAAGAATTCGGGTGGAATGATCACTTCTGAGGGCAGATCATCACTCCTCAAATGTTTTTATTCGTTTTCGTTGTGTTAAGAATCTTATACCCAATCGTGAAATTCCATGAGAAAATTTCTACATGTGTCTGAAACACGAACAACGCAGAGTTAATTTGCTTTAAGGAATAATACATTAGCTAAAAGATTTAAAAAAAAAAATATAGATATAATGCCTTTGCATGTTGGTGTTTGAAAACTGAACACACTGATCAACATCTTTAACTGAATACATTAATTAATATCTTAAAGCTACATATAAATTACAAATTACCTACCTGATACACAGCCGTTTCAAACGAAACCGAGAGACTGACCTTTTCGTGTATGGTTAGTGACTTGGATTTGGTCAAATTACCACTTGTTCGGCCAGTGTAAACATATCTGTCTGTGTTATACATGGTCAATGACCGTCAAATTTGGATACGGCGGCACTAATACAACGCTATTTTCTAGATATGCAAGCATAGATCATGGAGATAAAAGAGTTACATGCAGATGTTGTTAGATATTTCTGCCAATACATCAGATTTTGATTATAAGAGGTGGTGTACATGCGTTAGCTCCTGGTCCCTCTTTTTTTATACAAATATATGATGACATGTGCTCTTTGACAGATTTTAATTCAGATGAAAATCCTCTGTAAGTCAGTCAGTAAAATGTGTTTATATATGTATCTCCCTTACGAAACAGAATCGCAGCAGTTTTAGAAAGATTCGCCCTTGTCGGGTATTGAATTGAGGATTTTTTCCCCGGAAATACTCAAACTTGAAATGCTGTGCAAACTCCTTCTGTCCTACTTTAAAAGCTTCATACTTCATACACAGAGTTCTCCATCATTTGAAATTTTACTGTGTTGCAGACTTTACGTGAACCACTAATATTCGCGGCATTTTCGCGTTCAAATTCGCAACTGAACCACTATTCATTATATTACAAAAGCATATGCACACTTTTTTTTACTCACTTATTCGTTACACAAATGTTATGGTCGTGCATATTGATTAAAAAAATTAATGGATATTGAAAACAATAAAAATGTATCCATATAATAATGTACATACAATGTACTACATGTATAAGACAAACCAACTCAGTGTAACCCCCCCCCCCCCCCCCCACACACACACACACACAAAACTTTAAAAAAAATAAGTACGATTTTAAAAAAAATACCGTGCTACAGCATGTTTGAGAAGGTGTGTAAATCAAATGTGGATTCTCAAAAACTTCAAAGAACTTTTAGAAAGAAGATGGGTGAACAAGGCGTGCAGAATGCCTATAGCTTAAGATATCAATAAAATCATATTCAATTTGTGAATTAAGTATTTAAAATAAAGTTCTCATTATTGAAATTTATGAAATTATGATCAACAAAACTTTTCTGAGAAAAAAGATCTCGGTAAAAATTATTCTTTTATTAAAAAAATAAAATGGTATTCCTGGGATTCGAACCCCTAACAATAAAAATCCGGAGTATCATATTGTTTTGGGACTAACACGCTAACCACTAAGCCACGCAGCTCCTGATGAATAGTGGCATTTAAATCATGTTTGTGATATGACCCTTGACTTAATGGACTTCAAGTATTTCTCGGAAAGATGCGAATGCTTTGTCATAAAAGTGTACTTTTAAGGTATAGTGGGTCTTTGCTCCATGTTTTTGTAAACAAAAAAATGTATATTTTTATGCAAACTTTTAGGATCAACTTTCAAAAAAATGGAGCGAAGACCCACTCATATCGAAAAAAATTGTTAAAGTGTGAGAAAATGATCCTTTTTGTCCCCTTAAGTGTGTGTATGCTATTTCGTAGGCAAATAATTTCAGTCTTCGTGAGATTTTTGTAAATTGTAGAGATTTAGCATAAAATATACTTTAATGGTAGATGAAATATCAAAGAAAATTTTTATATAATTGAGATTTTATTTTTCACTTCATGTTTGTCGCACTATAGGCACTTCGCCCGCCTTGTTCACCCATCTTCTTTAAATTTACATTTTTTTTTTTCAAAAGTCAGTAACATCAAAACGTATGACTTTTCTACACTTTATACAACCATTCATCGGGATAAATTAAAAACTAGGCTTTTTGATTAGACAAATTAATGTTCCTTCAATAAAAATTGAACTCGGATTTCTTTTTATCTTGTGATTGGTAATCAACAAAATTTCTTCGTTAAAAAGCACTCTGATTCCACACACAAGTACTCTGAAGTTGATATTAAAAGGAGGCTGGAATTCCTCATTGACAACATTTATGTAGTCTTCGTAGTAGTCACCGGCTGAGCTACATTTAATAACAAGGAAACATGTCATGTACTTTTAATTGATTACCAATCGAGTGCTAATTACTCATTATGAAAAGTGACAAAAACTTTTCCGACATAGGTTCTACCTTAAAAGGATGTTGGAGTTCCTCATTGACAGCATCCCTGTAGTCTTTGGAGACGGGTCTTCCAACAATCTGTTGGAATTCTGTGGGCAGAAGTTGTGCTCCTTTTTTATCCGATCTGTTTTTATACTGAAACGCAAAAGAAACGCAACATCCTATTTTAGAGGGGAAAATCATATAAAGGATATAATTTTGTATCTAAAAAGTACGGATATCTTCAACTTTGTAAGCATCGATAATTTAACGGTTGAATGATTTTCATGCCATAACCGGAAGTTAAGTTTGAGCCCGCTGAACTGAAATAAAAATTGCATGTTTAACAAAAAATTTGACAAAAATATGGGGTTTTAAGGGTTTGTATCTGTTTTTCATAAGTAGTGCAGTAATATTTCGCAAAATAAATTCTCTTTTCGTTTCCGAAAGAGATACCAAGGCTTCCTGAAAATGACTTAAGTACGCATTTCAAATGCTCTAGCTGGAAAATCTGAAAATAAAGGTGATGGAGAATTGCAGATGCAAAAATGCCCGACAACACGCCTCCACAGGATCATACGTATCATTAGCATGAATGATTAGTACGTGGACCGGAAGTCCAAGTGTTACTACACTGCGCTAGGTTAGAGAAAATTCGACTTCATCATCTGAAAAACGGACATTTAAAAATGGCAAAGAATATTTTTTTCGCTCAGATCCTGAGATTGATGAACTTACTGCATCGTGGAAATCAAGCTGCAATTGCTGTGCATGGCAGTCTTCCACGCTATAATTGAATGGTCGAGAAGGGGGGTGTTTTAACAGTCATGTGTTACTTTCTAAAGTTAAAAGGTAATCATTTAACATTGTTATCAAATCTTTGATGCTTTAAAATCGAGTTTAACTTAACTGTAATCAGTTTTGAAAATCATTAGTTAAAAGGTTCAAATATTTGTAGATTACTGCTAGTTGCGTTTCTTTTGCGTTTCAGTATATATTCCTGTGAAGCAGAATTTATTAAAAAACTTCTACATGAGAGGAAGAAAACACTTGCTGTGGCGTTCAACTCGACATTCAGGTATATATCGACGACGTTTTATCAATTAACAATAATTACTTCCAATTATATGTCGACTCGATATATCTGAACTCGAAATAAAAGATACCACAGAAACTGCCATATCTGTTTCCTTTTTGGATGTTTACTGACTATAGACGATAGGGGACAACTACCAACTAAACTGTATGACAAACGAGATGTGTTCAGCTTTTCCATCATTAAGTTCCTTATTTATGTAGCAATATGTCACAATCATCTGCATAAGGTATTAATTATTGTCTCCCAATTTATTCGATACTTAAAGGTGCATAGACACAGATTTGAAGCTTATATTTTCTCAAATTTTCTGTATAATATCACAACTTATATGTTGCTATAGCATTTCACACGAAAATAAAATTAAAAACTTATTTAATCTGGAAGTTATTGAAACTACGAATTTCGGGAGGTGTTTGATTAACACATCCTTGCACTTTCATAATTTTTAACATTATCCTTAATACTTAAGAGAAGCAGCAATTTTGTTGTGTATTAATGAACAATATTACATCTATAATCCAGAAAATTCATAGTAAAAATGTGCGAAAGCAAAACCCACTCACTTAAGTATTGTCAACCCGTGCTCAGTGTTGTGTAGTTGTGTACAGAGTTTAACAAATTGAATACACCTGTGAAACGTAAACTGTTTTTGTAAACAGGGCACGAGCTCTGTTGTTGTTAATGTTTTCGTTTCACCGGGTGTGTTCAATTGTTAAACACTGCACACACCACTGAGCACGGACTGACAATACTGGTGATATAGGATTTTGCTTTCTACATTTCTACTCTGAAATTTCTGCATTATAGTTTTAATATTTTTCATTAATAAACAACAAAATTGCTACTTTTCGAAAGTAATAAGGATAAAGTTAAAATTTGTGAAAGTGCAAGAATGTGTCTATCAAACGCGTCCAGAAATTCGAAGTTTCAATAACTTCCAGACAAAATAAGATTTTTATTAAATTTTTGTATGAAAGGCTATAGCAACATTTTAAGTCATGAAATTATACAGAAAATTTGAGTAAATATAAACTTCAAATCTGTGTCTAAGCACCTTTAAGAGCATCCTCTGAGTACGATCAATACTTAAACCGAGTCAGGCTACTGAAAAAAAGTTGATGTTACGGGGATTTCAACAATCTCGTTTAATGACAGCATTTTGTAAATTCTATGGTGTCATAATGACCTTGCTTGCAAATAAAATCTATCATTGGATCGTATTTTGACTGGGAAATTTCAAACCGATTGTTAGATCATTGTATTTTAAACTTAATTTTACTACGGATTATGCCGTCTACCTGATCAATACATCGGACTCACGGCCGGTGTGACCGGTCCACAGGGGATGCATAAACTCTCCTAGGGACTTTCTGACATGTCACAGATTTGTATTGTTGTAGATTTTATGAGATCGATCACTGTTCGTAATTTATACCTTTGTCATCTCTAAATAATTGAATCTAGGTTTAAATGACTCACACCTATCTGTAATTGAATTACAGAAATATTCATTTGAATTAAACCTATCTTTGAAGCAGTTGAAGAAAGTTATTAATAATTAATTTAAAG